TACTCTATTCTCCTTTATTTGACACTTGGCGACATCTATTAAAAAACCTCAATTAAGAATAATCTGCATCAAGCTTCACAGGTGCAAAAACGCTGTTTAGAGGCACTTTTTTTTAACACGTGCGGCGCTTTATGGCGCCTCTAATGAGTAGTGCCGCAACGTGTTTTTAGAGGCGCTTCTCTGAGAAAAAGCGCCTCCAATTTTTAATTTTTAATTTTTTATTCGCTGTGCGTGCGGCGCGTTTTGGCGAAAAGCGTCTCTAAATTTGAAATTCCATCTGATCATACGTGTGGCGCTTGTGGACACAGAAGCGCCTCCAATTCCATACATTTTTCTCACTATGTGGCGCTTGAATATAGAAGCGCCTGTAGTTTATGATTCGTAAACAAACATGGTGCAAATAATGAATTGAAGTGTGGCACTTATTCAAAAGTGCTTCTAAATGCCTTTATTTTTTTGAAAGTCTAAATGCCTTTATTTTTAACTGAATACAAATTTTTCCAATTAGACTATTAAAATTAATACTAACAAGTTAAAAACTACAATATCCATACCCTGCGACAGACTCAAGTCCTCAACAAATACCATATTTCTTTTATCAAGCATCCATTCAATCGTATAACAAAATAAAAATACATAAGATGGCCTTAAATACAATCACTACAATTACTTCAAGCTCATATTTCCATAACTACATCTATAAAATATCTTGATGATATAATTCTAATACAGAGAATCATTATTTTCTATCAATAAGTAGATTTCACTTCTTGATCTCCAAACCTGAAACACAATAACTCAACAACTTTTATTTGCAAAAAAGTAAAAATTAACTTAAAATTATGAACATGTATCTCATGAGATAATACCTACACTAACATTTAGTTTATCTGAACATGTATAAAATATAGTTACAATGTTTAGGAATTAAATTCAAATTATATTTCAACAATAACTCAAATAAAAGAAATTACATGATAAAACATACCTTGATATTATGCCATTTGATTTGATTATTTTGCCGGCCACAACTTGTTTGTGAAGAAGCAACTCTATATATACAATCTACAAATCCAAATACCAATAAAAACATATACTCCGTATTTATATATGTAATAATGTTATTATATTAATATATACATGTGCTATAATTTAAAATGCATATACAGAAAATGCTTTTAAATGCTTACGTTGTTAAATCCTTTTAACCTTTGTAAACCATTGATACCTACAATTTGTATAACAACACAAAAAACCAGTAAAAGTTAACTCATAATAGAGCAATCCGAAACTTTATTTACATTAATTGTCAAGATATGGGAGAAACTAAGAACAAGTTAGTAACATACATGAAAATAGTACATGAAAGTTTTAAAGGTTACGCATCAAACTTGATACATCATATATACACCATATGAAATCTTATACTTCCTCCGTTCCCTTTTAATTGCAATAGTCAACATTTCACGTTTGCCAACGCACAAGTTTGACCATTAATATATTTCATTCCTTATTAGTAAAAAATTCAAAAAATTCATATTTTGAAAATTTAGAATGAGAAGAACTTAATAATATTTTTTAAAAAAATTATTTATAATACATTAATGAATAAAATATAGTCAAAGTAGAATATGTGAATAGTATAAAAAGTCCAATGTTGCGATTAAAAGAGAACGGAGGATAGTATACGATAGTACAAGAGAAAATAAAGAAGAAAGAACTTCCTAGTAGAATCATCATGCCGCATGATCAAATGTACTGTGAAACTGAATGAAAACCATGATCTTCTTAATTATATCATTTGCAACCTCAATGCGATAAAATCAATATATAAACACGAATTATAGTCAGCGAACATTATACAGTGAAAATTATAAACTAACAAAGCAATAAAATTTAGTTTTCTGACCCACAATACAGAGAAAGTAAGGATGAAGCAGCGGAGCCAGCGCTATGGATGGCGGAGACAGCACACCAGCCGGTCGGACATCTTCGATGACGGTATAGAACCGAAGTCGGTGCCTGGCGCTGAGATGGCGTTAACTGCAATTCGGGGCAAACCGGCGGTGATGAGGTGGAGGCAAAGCAGCTAGCTAACGGCGGCTTAGTTCCGATATCGCTGCGGTGGTCGCTCAGCTTCGTTCGTCTTTGTGGTGGTGTCTAGACTGCCACTCTGCTCTATGGTACCTCTGCCCAGCCGCCCAAAGCGATCTATTGGGGGTGTTGGGCAGTCGGCATTTAGGTGTTGGTGTTTAGCGGATTGTTTTAGCCGATTGATGACAACAGATTCTGTTGGCTCTTTCAATTAGCGGATAGAATTAGCAGTTTATAAAATGATGTTTGGTTAAATAGCTATTTATATTTAGCTGATAACTTGTTAAAAGGAAAAAGGGAAAACTATCAAATAAGCCCCGTACTATAATGAAAAAGTCGATTAGGCCCTCGTACTTTACAAACACTCAATTAAGTCCTCGAACTATTAAAAAACGTTCAATTAAGCCCTTTTGGTCGGTAAGTAATCGGTTTCCCGGTTAAATGTAACATGTTTCCCGGCAGCCGCCGTTGCTGAGGTTCGAGCACATCGTCGTTGTCGTCGCCGTTTAACCAGGAAACCAGTTACTTACCGACCGAAAGAGCTTAATTGAACGTTTTTTAATAGTTCGAGGACTTAATTGAGTGTTTGTAAAGTACGAGGGCCTAATCGACTTTTTTGGCATAGTACGGGGGCTTATTTGATACGGAGTAGTTTTCCCCTTATTAAATGACATTTTAGGACATCAACTAATTTTCTGCTAATGTAATTCGTATTACTACATAAATCCTTTTTATGATTAAAAACGTCAGAATGTTTTAACACAACTAATAATCACTCCATATTTTAAACCTCTACTCCGTATTTTATACTCATAAATGAAGTGATACCCCATTTCTCATACTCTTTTATGAGATTAACACAATATAGAGATGAACACGACAGATGAGACCAGGCAAGAGGCAACCTCAGTCGGTATCCCATTTTTATGATATCCTTCATTTTTTGAAGGAGTGGGATCAAATAGCTAACTAGAGGGCAGATGGCGGCTTGCTGCGTGCGTTGTTTTTTTAGCTCTCAGACGTAAGAACATTTATGTTAGGGGAATTATATTTTTGGTCTTCGGTGGAATTCTTTTCTGCAAGAATAGGAGAGATACGAAAATACAGGGTAGTGTAGGAAAGTTACGCAACGGCCAATTGTAAACGCTAGGGATATATGATGGCGTTTTACTTTTTGGCTGTTTGGATAAAAGACTAATTTGAAAAGCTATTTATCCAAACATTTTTATTAGCTGATTGATCTGGTCAAAAGGTCAAATATGATCAAAACAGCCAAAAAATAGCTGAAAAGCCGCCAACCAAACACCCTCATTAGGTTTAAAGCCCATACGTTCGGAACCCTATTAAAGACGTAGAGGCGTTTCTTCCTAACGAAAATCGCCGCACGTTTTGTTTTGTTTTATTTTATTTAAATGTAGAGGTGCTTGTTTCCTCAAAAGCGCCGCATAGAGAATGTATTTTTAATAAAAATAAATTCGAATAAGCTATATGAGGCGCTTAAATAACTAGAAGCGCCGCACGCGGAAAGAAATCGACTTTTTAAACATTCTGAGGCGCTTTTTGATAAAAACGCCTCAAATGAAGCGCCTCTATTTACACTTTTTCCACTAGTGAAGATTCATGAAAGAAGAGGATCATATACCTTATGAAATTGAAGATATTACTTGAATTGATTCCTACCGGACTGATGTTTTGCTATTTCTTAGTTTTGAATTGATTATACTACTTGGGGTTTGATTTAGGAATTTAATGGTTACTTTTCTTGTAAGAAACCAAAATAAATCATCAGTAATCAGTATATATACACGTGCAGCTAGCGGTCCATGCAGGGGCGCACCTTTTTTGTTTAAGGGTGTTCAAGCAAAAATTAGAAAACAAAATGTAAAAATGCATACTCCGTATATAGAATTGATGTAACAATTTTTATTGATTTTCATGTAATATTTCTTGCACTTAACCTTATTTTTGGAATTTTAATCTTGGAAAATTAAAGTTACATTTCTCAATTGGTGGACCGAAAAATATTATTTTGCAATAGATAAAATTATTTTAAACACCATTTATTTGATTGCAAGATCTACCATTGGGTTCAGGGCATAGCAAATACTATGGATGAATCGAACGCATTTGGGAATATGATTTACAAGATGTTGAAGTTTGGGCAGAGCATTGACAATGACGATGTTGTGGTTGGTGATGCTGAGATGCCTTCATGGGAATATAATGATGATGATGCGGAGTGAAGCAAGATGGAGGAAGTTGATTAAGGGAGTGTTTGCTAAAAACTTAAAAACGCGTTTTTCAGCTTTTAACTAAAAACTAAAAAAAATGTTTTCAAATGATAGCTTCTGCTTAAATTAAGGTTTTGGAAGCTAAAAGCTGGAAGCAGTTTGAATGGTACTTTAAACTGTTTTCTATTTTTTGTATTACACAAAAAACACTTATATTACTAAACATTGTCAACTTTAACTTTTTCAGAATCATTTTTTTCTCAAATACTACCAACTTTTACAATTAAGTAATTTCTCCTAAATCACTTTAAAAAATCATTTTTTTGAAGTAGAAGCAGTCGCAACCACTCCCTAAGTTTGTGCTCCTAGTTTATTCTTCTTCTAAAATCACGAAGCGGAATTATTATAAGGTGACAACTCCGGTACCCTTTTAAAAATTGGGGTACCGTACCTATCATGCATTTGATTGGTCCAAATCATTCTATTCCTTTGAATTTAGATTTAATTAATTCAACTGTATCGTTCCTATTGGTCTATGTGGACAAAGGTATGGTACCTTAAGGGTACCATAGAATCTACCTTATCATAATGGGATACAATCGAAATTCCCATTAGAGATGTTCAATTCTAAGGTGGTCGTATATTCACTCCACCATTCATCGTTATGGTTGAAGAGGGAGTTTGTACAATTTAACTTTAACTTTGATAAACCAATGACACTAAATTAAGAATAGAACAACAGATACTATTTAACTACATGAACATTAATTAAACCAACAAAATTAAGTAATGCAGTGCGCGCTATATCTTCAAACATAGCCACTGCATGCATATATGACCATGTCACTATTACTCGTATTATTTCATGAGAGGACTATGTAATTATTGATTAGAAAACTTTTGATGTAATTACGTTCAAGATGTGAAAATAGTATACGTATGAATACAATGAAATCTAATACGTAGTAGCATTGAATTAAGAGTATACATGAAAATAATTATACCATCCTTTCATAAAAAATGTTCATGGATCGACATTATTAAGTATGGAAATACATAATGAATAATTACACCATATTATTATGTGGTAATAATAGTCCATACATAGAACCTATTTAGTAAACCTCGAATTGACTTAATTGGTTGGACGTGCTGAAATGGGTGAAATTATTTATTTATGAAAAATTATATTTTATTAAGTGTTTACAGATTTTTTTATAAAAAGATAGTAAAAATGACCCTTTACACTAACTACAACTAGTACGTGAAATAAAAAAATACCTAGTATGACTTTAATAAAAAAAAGTTAAAAACCTGCAAACTAAAAATAAGAATTACTAATCATAATAAACTCATAAGATTCACTCGATGCTTAACTTTGTTGAGTTGTTCCATCCAAAAATTAGATATCCCAATATGGGTTATACTACCTCCGTCCCAAAAAGAGTTGCAAATTTGACTTTTCTTAGTCAAACAGTCTCGTTTTGTTCACTTAATTAAGATGTCAATTTTTAATTATATTCTAATTTGGAGTTTACAACTTTGAAGAGATTTTAATGTAGTTTTTGAATATGTAAATTTTAATTATTAAAAACTGAATTTATTATCCATACGAAGGGTTGACTTTTATTATTGGTTGACAAAAAATTGTTGACTTTGCAAAAGAAATTGGGACAGAGAGAGTATTATTTAACCCAAGAGATAAATCAGGTCACTAACGAATGAATCAATATTTTCATTTTGAAAGGAGAAATAATCAATATACCGCCTTATGACGAAGAAAAAATCAAATTAAAAATAAAATAATGACGAGGTATATATCTGGAGTGACAAATCTGGCCCTATCACAATCCCGCCTTCCTTTGTTGACCGGCTGCAGGGGCGGCAAACCTGGACGAGAAATTACGCAAAAGCCCATCTTCTTCCGCCGCCGCGCCGTCATCGAAATTCAGAGCATAGCTCCGCGCGTCGTATATGAACTGGGCCTTCTGATCACGCCTCACCGCCGGAGTGAAAGCTCTCCCCACTTTCCTCAACAAATCACTCCACTTTTTCCTCGCCAAAAGCTGCGGCGGCTCCCTCATCATCTCCGCCGCCTGTCTCCGGCACCACGGCTGTCCGCAGAACAGCGTCGAACAGCCGCACCCGAACGGAGAAGCCGCCGCCTCTTCTTCGCACCCGCCGCCGCCAACCGCCGCTCCAGTCGACGAGTTACCGCCAATGAATGGCTGCCTTTCTTGATTGGCGCACATATTGTATTGATTTCGGTGAATTCGTACGTAAGTGTTTGGAGGGGGTTAGTGGGGTTTGATTATCAAAATTAGGGGAGGTTTATGAGGTTTATATACGTAACTGTTTGGCGCGTGTAATTATTGTTGGACCAATAAGAAGAAACTTGCTTGCTACACACGGAATGGTGACTTCACAACTCTGATAAAAAACGGATTACACACTTATTATTGGCAATTTATGTGACTGATCTTGTTTCTTAAGTGTGTTTACCACCTCTCACCTCCACATGTAATAATGATCTTAAGTGTTCATTATAATGATAAGTTGATAATAACCATCCACGGCTCTAACACCCATTGTGTGACAACTTATACTTGACATAGGCTAAACGCAGTCATGTGGACTGGATCAGTAAAAAAGAAAATCAAAATACTTTTATATGATAATTCTTAACTAACCACCTAGAAAAATAGTCAATCTAATTTGTCCTCATCAAAATAAATTTAATCGTTGTAGATAAAATTTAGCAAAACGTACGATGAAATGCGTTGACTTTTCTCAAAAAAGAGTTTTTACTGTAAATACTTATTCAAGACCACTTTATACCTATTCAATAATACCTCTGTATTACCCATACTTAGCAACACTTTATGCATATCTTAAGCATTTTCCCACACAAAAATAATTTTAATCGTTGTAGATAAAATGTAGCCAAATCTACAATAACCTACAGTTGACTTTTTTCCTACAAAATTTGACTATTTGAACCACATTAAAGTGCAAAGATTTTTTTATATAAATAAACCCTAGAAGATAAACCACCAAAATCAGTTGGGTAAATGTCGGGGAGCATTTACCAGTATTTTATTAAAGTGAAAAAGATCATGCACTTGATACCTATTCATTTATACCTTATTATTACTCATACTTTGCAACGCTACATGCACATTTTAAACTTTTTATTGTCTTTTCTATTTTTATATAGGGAATCAAATATTGCACAACACTTGAAAAATCATGTTGTTTTCTACTTCTTTTTCAATAACAACAATTTATATCACTTCTATGATTTCTTTACACATTAAATACCCATGGGCGCCACTAATTACAAGGATCTAGGCCATACTTTTCTACTCAGTTCAACTAATTGATTCACACAAAGCATTAATGATGATACAAAGCATTAAAGTACAACAATTATTATAATTTGATAAAAAGGTATATTATAACATTACATTTTGCTCAATCTAATAACTCTTAATCACATAAAACAAGCAACTGACTAAGTTTCAATATAGAACAATCTTAATTATAGACAGAGAAATTGTTAGATAACTTGGCCCAAATAAGAACAAAATTAGTCATTGTCATTACAGCTTAGCCAAATCAATAATTGACAACAAAAAAAACTTTTTCCAAAAAAAAGTTTGAGTTGTAACAGAGTGCAAAGACCGTGCACTTTGTGAATTTTAAACTTTTAATTATTTTTTCTATTCAACTTTTGGAGTTCTAACAATGATTACATATTGCAAAACACATAATTGAAATCCTTGATTTCTACTTCTTTAATAACATGCATGCCCCTTCGTAATCTGTATGACCTTTTAAATTTATCACAAGACAATTTCCTATAATTAGATATGATAATCAACATATATCAAGACCAATCGCTTGAAAGAGTTGATATATACATACCTAGACCTATTTTTAGTCATTGATAACTATACGTGACATTATTGAGAGTTGAGAACAAACATAGACTCATGATCTTCATCCACGATGAGAAGGAAAACTCATTATACACTATTAAGATCATATTGTTTTTGAAGAATTTTTTCAAAACGTCTAACAAATAAATTTAAGATTTTATTATATGTTACCAACGCTACAAATTAATACTCTGTAAGTAGCAAATTACAATTGATATTGTCAATTAATTTCTCCTAATATTCTTTTACTTTTAGTATTTAATATTGCACTTATATTTTCCGATACTCACTTACTATAATAACTTTTTTGGGAAAATGTTAAAATTTAAAATAATTTTTTAAATTTATTTTTTTTGTTTTTGTATTTAATTAAACTCTGAATACAAAATATATGCACAACGCCTCTTTACCCGTGCGTATGCACGGGTACTATACTAGTTATAATGATAAGTTGATAACCATCCACGGCTCTAACACCCATTGTGTGACAACTTATACTTGACATAGGCTAAACGCAATAATGTGGACTGGATCACTAAAAAAGAAAATCAAAATACTTTTATATGATAAAGTTGATAAATGGGGGCATTTTTAGAATTTGGGATGGGTAGAGACATAATATGCCCCTAACTACACCTAGAGCTAGCTTTTTGAACAGAAAAGCCAAAAATTGAACAAAACATAATTGAACCGCATTTAAAAAAAATCAAACCATATTGAACAGATAAACTTTGGGACCCGAAAAGAATTGGTTCAAAATCGACTAATATACTCAAAATATCCGTTTGGACCGGATCGAACCGATTTTTTTATTAATAATAATTGCTATTATTAGTACTAATGACGTTTACAAATGGTACAATATATATTTGAGAGCAACATAATCGTATTGGAAGCGTTATTGTGTTGGTCGCCCAGAGCATTACCGTGCTAAGGCATCATTATATTGGTTTGATTCTCACCAGTGCCATTTTGTTTTATCATTTTGTTTTCAACCTTTTCTCTCCTATATATACTACTTCGTCCCATTACCTTGCTCAAATTTAAGGCTGTGACTAGTAAGTCAAGTATTCCTGTCATTTAGTATTAGAGTGGCCTTCACTACAAAAAAACACGGTCGTAGTCACGGACTTAGTCACGGACAGCAGTTCAATTTTTCCGTGACTAAATGATGTAGTCACGGTCGCTGGCCGTGACTAAATCCGTGACGTAATGGGCGTGACTAAATTGAAGTCACGTCCAACGGACCGTGACTAAATTTAGTCACGGACTAGTCACGGTCAGAAGCCGTGACTATAATACCCGCCGGAACCCCACTCCGGCGTATTAGTCACGGTCTGAAACCGTGACTAAGTTTTTTTAAACATTAATTTTAGTAGTCACGGCTTTGGACCGTGACTAATCTTTCAAATTTTCAAAATTTTTAAAAGACCGCCCGCGGCGGTAATTTAAATTTTTGAAATTAGTCACGGGTGTCGACCGTGACTAATTGGTTTTTTATTTAAAAAAATAATAATTTCGGATTAATAATAGTCGCGGATAAGCCCGTGACTACTTTTTTTGTTTTTTTAAAAAAAAAATCTAGTTTTCGTTTTTTTTTTTTAAGTTATTGAAAATATTATACTATTTTTTATAAAATAGTATACAAATTGAATTTCAAAATTACTTTCTTAAAATTACTTTTTTAAAAACGGACGTTTACAAATTAAATTTCAAAATGTTTTTTGAAAAATGAGTTATTGAAAATATTATACTATTTTTTTTTAAAATAAATACATTTTAAGAGTAAAGACATACAACAAATTCAATAAATATTGTGACAAACTTTTAAAAGTTTTGAAATACAACAAGTAATAAATGTATGATGATTACATGTCCCGTGGGACTCCATTATGATAAAAATTGGGATTTTCTTCTTCTTCTTCTTCATCATCAACAAGAAACTCATCTGGGTTCACGGGGGGATCTTCAGGGTCAGGTCGGGTTCCTCCTCGGGGTGCTCCTCGGGGTCCTCCTCGGGGTGCTCCTCGGCCTCCGTGGCTCGGTGTGCCACTACCTCCTCCGGATGACCTCGCAAAATCAAAGGACATAGAACCGAAATTCGGGGAGATCATAGGCATGCCACCATATCCGGAGTTGGGGAAAAATCCCATACCGCCCATGTGCGGAACTTGAGGAGTTTGCTCAGGGTGGAATACGTACGGGGGAGGAAAAGGCTGTTGCGGAGGCTGGAATCCGGCACGCATGTACCGTTCCATCTCCTCCAACCGGGCTTTTGTGGCAGCATCTGCTTTCCGCTGCTCCTCCCATCGCCGTTCGTGCTCCTCTAGTTCACGCTGCATTGTGGCAATACGGGGATCTTCTCCCCGCCTTGACCGAGAAGAGGAAGCGCCGGTGCTTCGATCATACAAAATCCGTTGCCCCTCAGCCCCCAAGCACGGAACCCGGCCCTTGTAAACCCCGGCCGCCTCAATGGCCGCCTCATCATCCGCATCGGAATCGAGGTCGTCCTCCTGGGTCAAGCCTCGTGCCGCACGCTGCCTGTCGAGGGATTCGTTGTACTTCGTCTGCATTTTCAAAAAGATTTTTTAAATGCTACATACTTAGATTTGAAATGTTACTAAATAACAAAATATGATGTTACATACTTCGAAGTCGGCGAGGCGGGGTGGCAAATCGGCTTCAGATTCCTCGCCGTGCTTCGTCCAGCAATGCTTGACGAGCCGGAGAACATCAACCTTCTTCTTCTCAGGACCAGCCTAAATGGTGTGAAAAAGACTTAAATTAAATTTTTTATAATGAAGGAATGTGATGTTGTAAGGTTTTTTGAATAGCACTTACAAGAGTTTCTTTATGGGCATTCTGAGATTTACGACCTCCGTGCCACTGCATCTCCAAGGCCTTCTCGGACATCCGGTTTTTCTTACCGGATTCACTTCTGGACAAGAATTTCGGATCAGAAGACCAGTGGCGACAAAGGTTGGACCACACTTCATCCGAAACCCATCTAGGCTTTTTCCCACTTTTTCGCGCACGTTTAAAAGTGGCGCGAAGCCAGGTCGAAATCCTAGCATTGTAGGCTTTAAGAATATCGGCACCGTTTGCGTGAGTCCAACGATAGCGAGCCTTTATTAAAACAAATTGGATTAATTAATCACCAAGTATTAGGCCAATACAATCAGGAAGGGAACATTCATTTATTTTTACCTTGAACAGGTTCCACCATAGTTCGCGAACCTTGGGGTCAACATCTGACAATGTGGCCCAAGTGCCAAGAAAGTGTCCTCCGATGATGTTTTTGATGCCCGTGAACACGTGTTCGTCACTTAAAAAAATTAATAGTATTTATTTATATAAAATTTGGTTTGATTATTTAACATTATATAAAATTATTGAAAATAAGG